AACAGTGGCAGTATAATGTCCTCATAAGTGGATATCAGGCCCTGGTAGAGAAAAATTAAGTATTTTGGTCTAGGTCCTAGGAGGTTAATATGCAAATTGTCCTGACCATTGATCAAAAACCACTGATCAAAGACCATTGATCGATGACAATTGCTTAATGATTAGGAGTATTATTCACAGAGAGTTGGGGAATTGCTGCAAAGTGTTGAAAAGGCTGCCGACTGTGAGTGAGAGCGCCCTTGTGGTGAGAGAGCACAGTTGCGCTATTAGGCACATGGTAGAGCACGGAGGTTAAGCTAACATAGGAAGAGACAACTTACAAACTGATTCGACAGTGGACTCCCAGCTCATCATCATTGAGTGCTCATCATTGAAAGAGTGTCTACTGGTATGTAGGCAGGCGTAAATAGACTGTGCAGCAATAATCAAGACAAGCCTCATTAAATTCTTATTAAGTTTTATTATTTTCATTTTAAGTGCTTATTTTTATTAGGTGTTGATGAAGTAGAAAATCTCTTCTGGAATGTGATTTTGGGGGTTATTAGGAGGAAGGAAGCTAAGCCATATTTTTTAAAAATGGGAGGTGGAACTCTCCTTATCAGACCAAGTATTTCCAGAAAAAGCAACTTCCCTTCAACCTTGGTCAAGAACACTAAGCATAACACTGAAGCAAATATACAAGTGTGGAAATAAATAAAGCCTTCATTAAAAAAATTGAAATCCATGAGAAAAAAAACACACAAAAAGGATATTTGAAAAAATGTGATGACAATGGGAAATTTTTATATTAGTAATGCACCCATTGATGTTTAAAGTTTTTCCTTATTCAATTTATCTAGAATTAGCCCCTATTGCAAACTGCAATGCTCCTCTCACGTGATTTGAAACTTTACTGTGAGGAAGAGTCTGAAAAGTTAGATTAACTATATCTAAATTTTGCTTATAGGACATTGCCAATAATCTGACATTTGAGAAAGGAATTGAAGCTAGTTTGTTTCTTTTAGATGTTTCAAGAAGTTCCCTTATTTTTTTCATACCAACAGACAACAGTACAATCCACGCAGAACCTTCTCAAAAGGCACAGTCCATTCACACATACTGCCCAATAACTATAAATGAACTACTTATATTTTAATATTTTGGAGAAACGAAAAAGGTAGAAACTTTTCTTCGAGTAGTTAGCAGCAGACCAGACCTTCCTCTGCTCAGCTATCTCCTCTTGCTCAATTAGAGGGGCTCCAAGGTATTGCTAAGCCTCCTCAGAAAAATGAGTAGGCTTAGCAATATCTCCAGCATATCCAGGTCTGCCCAGGGCCTCCTCTCGAGGGTACATGCCTCACTTACGGGACACCCGGGATGTATCCTCATCAGATGCCCAAAGGCTAACCAAGCCTCATAGGTATCATTCTTCAGGTCGATGGTTCTTTTCATCTCCAGTCTCCACCATCTAGTTCAGGGCTTACCACCATGTAAGGTTGGTGCAGAGGGCTGCACGCTACAGCTCTCTACACATCCTCAACAAGAGTTGCAGAATATTCATTTAGACTCAGTGTTCCCAGCTTTGTTTGGAAGGCCGTTGAAGTTCTAATCGAGGTGGGACCTGAAGATCTTGTGGACAGGGGGCCTCTGTCAGATGCTCCCAATGCTCACTATTAGGGATGGGTACTGGTATCCGGTGCCATTACGGCACCGGTTCTGACATAATCATTTTAGCCAATCATTTTACCTTTCCGAGGATAGTAGACGGGCCCAGGTATGTACGTTCTTTTAGAGCAGAGCTACAGATTTAAAATGCCCAAGGCGAAGCGGTCAAAAGTCTGGCTGTACTTCACAGCAAAAGATGCAAACTCAGTGCTTTAAGGTGATACTGTGCAAAGGAGGTAACTCCTCGAATCTGATGAAACACCTGGCGACGTATAGCATTTTGTTAAAAGCCGAGAAATGCGCCGTATTTGATAGCTTGCTGCGAGACCTCACACCGTGCACATCTACTGCAGGTGAGTTGCCTGTTATCGGACCCAGAGTTAGCAACATCCCTCAAAAACCCGAAGAGTCCTGGCCCATAGCCCTGCCAGTGTAGCAGAAATGATGACGGATGATGATGGCAGCAGCAGCCGTTCTTCTCTGCGTGAGTAGCTTAATGTTGTTCGTGTGTAAGCTAACCACGTTATTAAATTAATGCATGTAAGGTGAACTAACAAACACCGTTGTAGTTACATGCGGCCGTCTTCTTGTTTGATGGCAGATACTCCCTTCAACTTGGCCAAAAAGGCTAAAATGACCAAAGAAAAAGTGGAAAACAGCTAAACATGAGAGGCTTTTGGACAAAGTTTGTGTTTTTTCCATTGATTAACCACTGCTTGCAGCCAAGATTGATACCATAAATCCCCTATAGCTACAGAAAAGGCTAACATTGTTATCTTTTTACAAAAAAACAGCTGAACATGAGAGGTTTTTGGACCAATTTTGTGTTCTCCATTCTTTAAGCACCGGTTTGAGCACCGGTTTGAGCACCGTTTAAGCACCAGCACCGTTTCAAAAGTACCGGTTTGGTACTGGTATCGGATAAAACCTAAACAATACCCATCCCTACTCACTATACATTTAGCCAGTCCAGGCATGTCCAGTATCCACCTTTGCCGAACTCCTCTCTTTACCTGAGTATACAGAACATACAGCGGCAGATCTGATGATACCATTACAAAACTGATCATTGACCTGTGACATAGCGTGTGCTGGTGCCAAGTGCACCTACAGACATCCTTATGTTCCTAACATTGTGTTTGTTATAGACAAATTAATTTGCGCAGAAGTTCAGTAACTGAATAACACTAGGTTTCAAATCCGACAGGTCGCTTTTCTAAGTCAACCCCCCCCAGGTCTCTATGTTACTGCCCATGTGAGTGGTGAAGTCCTCCAATAGAACCACAGAGTCACCAGAAGAAGCAACCTCCAGCACCACAACCAGGGACTCCAAGAAGGCTGGGTATTCTGAACTGTCATTCAGCACATACAATAGAATAAAAAAGCAAATGAAAGTCAGTATCCAACCCTTTTGACCACCACAAAAAAAACCCTATGTGCAGGCAGTGAGCCAACACGATACAAAGAAAAAAAACCCTCCCCTAACTGCTGCCTCTCACCAAGTGCAACTCCAGACTTGACCAGCCCTTCTCCAGGAGGCTACTTCCCCACTAGAGAAGTAACATTCCGTGTCCCAGTCACCAGCCTCGATAACCAGGCCTCAAATTGCCACTGCCTCTGCCCTTG